TGCTTTTAAAATTTTTGGAAATTCAAAATGGCTATCATCACAGGAGCTAATATTATAGTAGAAAGCAGCAGAATATTTCTAAGGTGAAGAACTAGTAGATCAGAGAGATCATGAACAAGTATAAGTTTCACCATCCATCAGCTGTTTCCTAGGCTTTGCCTTAGGTGCTTTGCAACCATGAAGGCAATACAGTTTGCCTTGTCAAGCCATAGAAATGATGGAATTCACCATTCTGAGGCCTTATCAAGTAGTCCAGTAGCTGATTAGAACAGTAGGAAGAACTTCAGTGCATATGGAGGGAGGGGTTCTTCTCTCTGAAATATGCCCACCTGGGAATCAAGTGTGGCACCAGCCTAGACTGCTGGGCAGGAAAAGTGGTGTCACTGTTATCAGAGAATCTTTGGCGGGTACCAGGAGCATCGCTCCGCAAGTGCCTGGTTGTGACCCTTTTTCTGAGATTGGGCTCTAGAGATCAATTGGGATAGCTGCTACTGTAACAGCCTCCCTGCTGCATAATAGCCTCCCTGCCCAAGATCCTAGATCTCACTGCAGGATTGGTGGTGGAGTTTCCCAGGCTTATGGTTCTGGGGGACTTCAATCTGCCCTCCCTGGGAGTGGGGTCAGAGGTAGCTCAGGAGTTCATGGAGACCATGACTTCCATAGGCCTGACCCAGGTCATCCAGGGCCCAATTAGAAATAGTGGTCACACACCTGATTTGGTGTTCTTGTCAGAGTGGTGCCTTTGTGATCTTAATCTTGACCTATCTATGGCTTTCGATACCATCGGCCATGGTATCCTTCTGGAGTATCTCCAGGGGTTGGGAGTAGGGGGCACTGTGCTGTCCTGGTTCACTTCCTTCCTCCAAGGCTGTTTTTAGTCAGTGTTGGTCAGGAGCGAGAGGTCTGACCCACAGCCCCTGCTTTGCAGGGTCCTGCAGAGGTCAGTCCTTTCTCCACTTCTGTTTAACATCTACATGAAGCCCCTGGGTGAGATCATCCATCACCATGGGGTGAGATATCATCAATATGCTGATGATACTCAGTTATACATCTCTGCCATGGTGGTTAAGCGATGCTATGACTGCCCTTTCTTGGTGCCTGGAGACTGTTGAGGTCTGGATGGGGAGCAACAGGTTGAAAGAAGAGGGTTATGTTGTAACCATACAGTATGAGGTAAATTTATAATTGTACTTATCACTGCTGTAAAGATCAGAAGCTACTTGTTTATATCTTTTTTTCCTTTCCTTTCCTTTCCTTTCCTTTCCTTTCCTTTCCTTTCCTTTCCTTT